GCTGATCTCCATTTTTCGAGATAGGCACATATCTTGTTAATGTCATAATGTTTGTAGTTCATAAAGTTTGAGGAAACATTTTCATTCAGTAGTGTAGTCATATGGAGGAGGGAAGCGACCGTTACTTAACTAATAATGGAGGGATCTGTATTGTAAGTTAGAGAAATTGGACGTATTCGGGTCAAAATAAAGGTCTCACCGCCAAACTAACAAATTTAAAATATGGCGCGCTTATGGCATGCGTAGCGTAAGATATTCAATTTTTCAGCAAATTTCCTCTTTGAGGGTGGGGTGTGAGGTGTTTGGTGTAGGATATGGAATGTGGGTATGCGTGTGGGTGTGAATGTGACTATAGGAATGGGTATGGAGGTGAGTATAGGCGATCATGGGTGTGAATGTTGGTGTGAATATGTGAACGTGGGTGGAATATGAGTTGACAGAAGATTGGAGCACACCTGCATTCAAACCCTATCCACATCCCACAACCATACCCACTCCACCTCCAACATCTCACACTTCACAGTCCACCCTCAAAGGGAGAATTCAATGAAAAGTGGGATGTCTCACGGTACACATGCTACAAGCACGTCATATTTTAAATTTGTTAGCTTGACGGTGAGAACTGGGGTGTAGATGTCGGTCTGGAGATGTGCGTATAAGGATGGATGTGATTGTGCGTGTGGGATGTAGGTGGAGGTGTGCATGGGGCTTAGGTATGGGTTGGTGGGTGTAGTTCAATCTTCTATCGGCTAATATTTTACCCACATCCGTACCCACACCCACCATTATCATGCTTCTGTAAAGTAGCTAACACATGATGTTAACTGACAATCATGGTGTTCTAGAGGAAATGACTTGCGTTGACTTAGCAAAATATCTGGTAGTTGGTGATACATCAATTGTTTGCTAGTCGGCAACTCGACCATTTACCGGTTACAGCTAGTGGTAGCGGGTTCATTATCAACTACTTGGACAATAGAAAATCACCCATTTACCAATGCCAGCTTCAGAATTAAAGAGGGTTGGATCCAAGTCATATAATTCGAGAAGAACATTAACTATCGATCTAGGGGTTTCAACAGTCAACAGAGGAGAGTCTGAGATGCCTTTTTGCTAGATACTATAGAAGACCAAATCAGTTTGAAATTATTTTTCTTTGTGAAACATTCAGAACGCAGTATAAAAAAGTATGCTCCACTTTACGGAAATTTTCATTAAAAATTTAAAAAATTGCTAAAAATCTATAGAATTCTACGTAATTTGTTTGCATATATGCACGGTTAAGTTTCTTGATATTTGCAACATGAGAAGATGATCACTTGGATCATCCCTTGAGCACCAGATTTCACGTCCTCTGTGTGAAACATGTCAAACTCAAAATTAGACCGAAATAGGAAATCGTCTTCATACTTTTTATTGAATGTTTTGATAATATGATACATTTCAAAATAATTTTCCTCTTCTGTGGCATCCGGCAAAAAAAACATCTCCGAATCTCCTCTGTCGATTGCTGGAACTCGTAGGCACCTAGCTAATGCCGTTCTCGAGTTATCTGACTTGCCACCACCATTTTTTAATTTTGGCGCAGACATTAGCTCTTGGGTTACACAATAGTAAATTTTTATTTTTAGAACACTGAAATAGTAAGTTATCGGCACCGATGAGCAGCTGTACCAAGAAACCAAAATAGTACATACTATCAGTTACTTTGGTAGATACCCAAGGAAGCAAAAAACTAACGAAGACGGATAATAAAAAGTACATAATGTCAACAATGCCTGTCAGCTCTTGTCTAAAGTTTCCTCAGTATTTCCCATCCCTGTCATCATCACAAGAAGGATCATGCAAACCACGTCTTGACTAGTCCAAAATGTCGCTGAACCTCATAATGTCTTGTTCATTTGTCTATGTATCCGATTCAGACTAGTCGATAAAATATAAATAATAAAAAAAATGACAAAAGTGAGCTGGAATATACAACCCGACAATACTCAATAATACAGGGATACCAAAATCTTATGACACGTCTTACAAAAAGCCTGACGTCTGTTTAAATACTCTCAACATCAGAAACACAGTCGTTCACCAACTAATACAAATAAAAACTGATTTTAGAAAATGCGATGAATAATGTCAAACTTCTTTCAGCAACTGTGCGAGTTAGTCAGGAAAATGTTCTATACATGCCATGACTAGTCTAACTTTTATAATATATCGTCCTTCATTACTGATTCAGAGTATTATTGAATTCCTTAAACTCACTTGTCTTGTACAACTTGATGTGACCAATTCTTAGAGTGATACAAAGAATAAGAAAAAACAATGAAAGTAAAATTTTTCAATACTTGCCTAGCTTCTTGATAATGAATTGTGCGCGATAAGATGCATTCAGAACATGGAGAAGATAATAGAACCGACATCATTTTGTTATCTATGTTTATCTAAAAGTCAACTAACGTTACAGATAGGTGTCAAAACAATTTTTTGTCATATTTACTGATGTTTTTCGCCGACTGCAACTTTGCTAAAAGAGATTTTTTTAAACTGATAACGAATTTCGCCGAATGAATTTATAAGCGAAAACTACCAAATCCAATAAAACTAGAGATACACCGTCTCCAGTAATTGCGATGTGAGTGTGATGGGAAGTCGGTATGGGGAGAGGGTTTGCGTATGGGTGTGTGGTTATGTTGATGGAGGTGTAGGTGTGGGTGAGTGCGGGTGTGAGTAAGCAATAAACAACCACTCCCACACTCACACCAAAGGGCAAGTTTGATGGTTCACAAACTTGACAAGAAGAAATTCCGCGGAATTCCTAGTGATTCCGGAATCGCTCAGCTTTGGTATCACAGCCATCGGCCGAGGCTTACAACTGGATGGAATTCCGGGTATCGTACGGATCCGGAATCGCAACGATTTGGAAGGAATTCCTAGTGATTCCGGAATCGCTTAGCCTTAGTATCACAGTGATCGGCTGAGGCTTATAACTGGATGTAATTCCGGGTATTGGACGGATCCGGAATCGCAAGGATTTGCAAGGAATTCCGCGGAATTTCTAGTGATTCCGGAACCCCTCAGCCTTAGCATCACTGTGATCGGCTGAGGCTTATAACTGGATGTAATTCCGGGACAGAATTCCGGATATTGGACGGATCCGGAATCGCAAGGTTTCGCAAGGAATTCCGCGGGATTCCGGCACCGCTCAGCCTTCAAATCACACTCATGGGTTGAGCCTTATAACTGGATGTAATTCCGGGTATCTTACGGATCCGGAATTGCAAGGAATTCCGCGGAATTCCAAGTGATTCCGGAACCGCTCAGCCTTGGTATCACACTCATCTGCTGAGCCTTATAACTGGATGTAATTCCGGGACAGAATTCCGGGTATCTTACGGATTCGGAGTCGCAAGGAATTCCGCGAAATTCCTAGTGATTCCGGAACCACTCAGCCTTCGTATCACACTCATCGGCTGAGCGTTATAACTGGATGTAATTCCGGGTATCTTACGGATCCGGAATCGCAAGGATTTGGAAGGAATTCCGCGGAATTCCTAGCGATTCCGGAATCGCTCAGCCTTAGCATCACAGTGATCGGCTGAGGCTTACAACTGGATGTAATTCCGGGTATCGTACGGATCCGGAGTCGCAAGGAATTCCGCAGAATTCCTAGTGATTCCGAAATCGCTCAGCCTTGGTATCACAGTCATCGGCTGAGGCTTATAACTGGAGGGTGTGGCTTTGGTTGCAGGTGTGGGGTGTAGATGAGCGTGTGAGTGTGGGTGCGGATATCTTCTCATCACACACACTCACACCCACACCCACTCACACCCTTCTAAAGTCAGAAACTTTGCTGTCAATTTGAACAATAGCGCTTTTTTTCCAGCATATTTCACTCTCAAAAGTATTATGCTTATAATTTTGTCAAAAAACGTGCTAGAAAGCTGGTAGACGTCTCATTTTTAAGGAACCTGAATACTCTGCAACTTTGTCAAGCAGTGTGGATGTGGATATCATTGATGAGAAAATCTACACTCATATGAACATCAGCATGCACATCCACACCCAAGATATTGCAAAAAGAAAAAGTGGACTAATATTATGTCGCACACTTTAGTACCAGAAAACGATACATAACATCTTCCATAAAAAAAGAAAGAGATGATTTGATTTAAAGATTTTTTTGTTGTCGTATTTCAACAAGTTTATTATTGCTAAAATGCTTGTTTGTTTTTTCATTTTATGTATGTGATTGTTTCCGATTATATCAGCTAGATCTTCAGCATTGTCTATATGATGTGATGGAGATCTTTTATTATACAGTAAAGATGAACAATAAACAATTGACTTCATATAACAGTATTTTTCAACGAAATAATCTTTAATCATGACAAAAAATGAACACAAATTAAGTTACATAAAATATAATAAAAAAAAAAGATCTATCAAACAATAAAGCTATAATTGAGAATAATGAAGATGAGATTTCTACGTTCTTTTTGTTATTTCATTTTATGAATTTTAATTATATATTGAAAAAAAATTAGAATGAAAGTCATTTTATATTCTTATAGTTTTTAATTGGATTTAAATAAAATACATCAACAATATGGTTTGAAAAAAGACTTTAAATATAGATTCTAACTTCATCTAAACATAATGCTATTTTCTATAGTGTATTTAATAGATGATAACTATTGTAACATATCAAGGATGGCCGCATTATATATCTATTCTTTGTTAATGAAAAAAAAAACATTCATGCCGATCTCTCTATGAAAGACTGTTATTAATGTAGTGGCGAGTTGGGCATATATGTATTTACTGCCAAAGTACAAAGTGATAAAAACAAAACAATTAATACAACAAAAATAAAATAAAAATAAAATAAAGTTAAGACATTTTTTATAGTCATTTTTGGGCACTTCAAACGCCACAAGAAGCTCTATCGCAAGATAAGAGCTTCGCGCCCAAAATAATAAAAAAAATAAATAAAGAAATGATTAAGACAACTGCAATATTTTATTATGAGCTTTAAGAATAACAGTGTCACTAACACGGATGTAACGTAAATAAGACAAAGAACTCCAACGACCTAGGATTTGTATTAAATGATCAAGAACACCAGCTGCTCCTACCCGTAGACTATGTCCACTATAAGCAGAAGCCTCATAACCTAATTGAAGTAATAAATGTCTTAAATTGAAGATAAAAGCACGACGAGTAAATGCGTGACCGTTGGGTAAAAGAAAGAAAGGAGAATCATAATTATTGCTGTTGCGAAGAACAGTAAAACAATTTAAAGCATGAACAGCACAATTCATGGATTCATTTCTAAACCAACGAACATTCACTCCTTTCCGTTCTATATCAGTTTTTGATGATTTTAACTTAATAATAATACAGTTCATATCATATTGAATATCAGCTTGTGTAACATGTAAACGTGGACAAAATTTATCAGGAAATAATTCACCGGACCTGAAGAAACCCCAAAATGCAGTAGTAAGTGCTGCTTGCATTAATGTATCGATATAAGGATTAAATATACCGCATTGTAATACACGAATTAATTTGTTTAGAATATCGATGGTAATAGGTTTGCATTGTTTAATGGGTAAGGAATCTAAACGTCGCGCGCCTTTAAGAATCATTTCAATTTGTGGTATTCGATAACCGTACATATCTATAAATGGATCAGAAAAGCCCGCACGCAAACGATAAAAACGAATAGCAGCTAAGTAAGAGCGAATTGTAGAATATCGAATGTTACGAATACCATGACAAAATGCTATGAAATGTAAAATAAGATTAAGAGGTAAATGATAAGAATGCATGTTAAAACCGGACATAACTGCAAATCGAGTAAAAAGTTGATAAGCAGATATTGAAAAGTTTAACTTGAAGAAATGTTGAAGTTTAACAAATTAAAACAGGATTATAAATAGGTTTTACTGAATGATAGTACGAGAAGATAATAAAAACTAACAACTTAGCTACACCTGCTAATGAACTTCAGCAGAAAAGAGCGCTACATTGAAACAATAGAAAAGATAATAAAATAAAATAAGTCGAGCCTACATGAATCCTCTTTAATGTCTCGTATCTCGCCATTAAAGAGTTATTTTAGGTAGAAAGAAAAAAAAAATAGTATTAGTCATTCATCATTGCCTAACATGACTATATAAATATTGTTCACACAGACGGTCATGAGAAAGTTCAAGATATATATATATATATATGGAGGAAGAGATTGATCATGATAAAAAATATCACTTAGATATGAACATGTACACTTTAAATAACAATGATATTAATATACTTGATTTACCTGATGAGATATTACTTCGTATACTTAACAAACTACATACAATTGAAATGCTCTATTCACTAGTGAATGTGAATCAACGATTTGATCGTTTAGTACTTGATCGATTCTATATTCATCATTTAGATTTAACAATCAAACCATTGCTTTATCATAATTCTTCAGTAAATAATCAAAAAATTTTCGATGGAATTTGTACACAAGTCTTACCTCGAATTCATCATAAAATAAACAAATTTACTATTGAACCACTTTCTATGAAATATATTCTTGATACTATTGATTATTCTCAACTTAATTCGTTATCATTAGTCAATTTTCAATCAGAAACACTTCTACAACATTTAACAGGTATAATTATGAATTTTTATTTGTTTTCATGGACTAACAGTGTTTTTATTTTTGTACGTTTAAGGTGATACTATACTTCTTCGTCTTCTTAATAATCAAATTACACATCTTACAATCGATATTACTGATAAAATAAGTGAAATACCTGATGGAAATCAATTAAACATGTTTGCATTGATACTATCTATTAGTAAATGTTTAATTGATTTGACATTTACTCAACGCACAAAAATTTCATTTTCTAATTTACCATCAACAACTTGTGTATCTTCAACTCTAACTAAATTGAATATTACTGTAAATACTTTTGACGATTGTCTTTATCTTCTTGATGGATGTCTTCAACATTTATCTATATTGATTATTCATATAATTGAAATTAGCGATTCATCATTGAATATAGATAATACAGTAAGAATAAATATAATCATTGAATATAAATAAATCTATCTTTGAAATTTAATGATTGCTTTGTTTTCTTTAGAAAAATCTTCCTAAGTTGAAATGTTTATCATTAACATCGTATTGGTATACATATTTTTATAATAATCGTATTGTTCCATTACTTCGTCGAATGTTAAATCTTGAAGAATTAATATTATTTCTTTCGATAAAAAGAAATGAATCGACTTATATTGATGGCACTCAATTATACAATGATTTTCTCATTAATATGCCAAGACTAAACAAATTTATTTTTAGTATACACACCTATATTAAAAATGATCACGTTAAAATTGATCTTCCATCGAAGAACGATATTCTCAATAGTTTCATCAAAAGAGGATATCAACACGTAGATACATACGCTGATAAGAAACTCATATATAATAGAGGCTATTCTCATGTCTATTCACTTCCATATTATTTCAACGATTTTATATTTATGACCAGTGGTTTTCAAGGTGGTATGTTCAATAAAGTTCGATGGTTAGTAATGTTAGATATACGTCCATTTGAAAATGAATTATTTCAAGTTATCTCACATAGTTTTCCTTTACTCCAAAGATTATCCATTACTAATTTGCAATCACAAAAAAATAAACAAAATTCGTCTACATTTATTACATTTGCTCATCTATTCGAACTCGATCTTAAGAGGACACATATTGATTATGTCGTACAATTTCTCTTCGATAAAAATACTAGTTTACCTCGTTTGACACATCTCACCATTCGATATGAACCATTAGCAACTGTAACACAAGGTTTTACCAATGATGCAGCACATCTTACTTGTGCTAAAATAAAACGTCTTGTTATACAAGAACCATTTGTTCGTCCAGAAAAATTTCTTTCGTATTTTTCTTCATTGTAAATATTAGTGTTGTAAATATTGTGATCAATAAATAAATATACTATAAGAAAGTTGAATATATTGGTCATGATAATTAATAGATTACTGCAGAAATTATTGATTGCGTTTTATTTTTATTGGCATAACAACTCTTGATAAAGTAAAAATATGAAAAGAAAAAAGAAAAAAAGAGAATATAAATAATTGACTATTCTAAATTTCAAAAAATTATAGTCGACAACATACAATCATATTGTTTCGAAAAGGATTTTACAATAAATATTAAAAATTTTTAATAAATATATTGCTTTCATGGTAACAAGGAGGCTATGTTCTGACTTGCGAACAAAATTTAAGTAAATTACCAGAAAAATGTTTGTAATTGGTAAACGTAATAAAAATAAGGGCAGTTTCATTTTTTACAAGCACTATTAAATAGGTATAGATTATTATCATCAAATTTAGTAAATATTGGTTCATCATATTCTCGTTCATTATCAATACATAGATCCACAACACATTTAAAACATGATGGTACAATATCAAGTAAACCTCGACATGATTTTAAAGATTCACCCTACTTTGGTCGAAAGGCACAGATGCCGAAACATAAAAATGTCGAATCGTAAAGATGTCGAAAGTGAAAATGTAGAAAGTAAAACCTGCCGAAATGTAAAAATGACAAAAGATAAAAATGTCGAAAGGTAAAAATATTTGAGGGTATTTGTAAAATACGCTCTAACCCACTCCAAGCGCCGTTTAACTCGGAGTTAATATCAATCGATAGAACTTCGCATTCTACACTCATGAGACCCCACTCTAAGCCATTTGCTTTGAAAAACGTTTGATAAAATCATCAAATACCATTTTTACCAGTCCACTCTAACCCATTCCAACCCGCTCTAAGCCATTCTCATACAGATCTCAAAAAGAAAATTAACTTTCGATAAGAGAAAAAAATTATTGAAGTCATCCTTCAATATATCTGAACTTATTCAACTTATGATTACGTCCCTCACTGTTTTTCAATGAGTTCTTTGTTCTCTTTTCTTTGCAACTATCTTTTTACATATAGGGTGTGGGTGTGGGGGGTGTGGATGGGGTGTGGGTGGGTGTGGGTGTAGGTGTAGATGAAAAGAATGTCAACAGTGACACCCCACCCACACCCCACACCCACATCCCTTTCCACATTTCCCTTTTTACAAGCGCTTGCAACAAGATCATTTATCGTTTATACTCTTCATGCTGCAAGTCCAAAGCATATATGCACGCGTATAGCCAAATATTGTAACAGAGGCTTTGATCCTTTAGTGCCTATTAATTTCGACGGTGATTTTGAATCAATGCTGGCACAGGATGAGATTCCACTATACCGCATTGGGCATAAAAAGTATGTTGTCGATGAAGATGATGTTTGTATTGCTACAAAAGAATATTATCGAGTTTTCGCACATAATGTTGATACTTTTCGACTTCAAGAAAAATTTATGTCCAATGTATGTCCACACTTATTGCAATACAAATAAATATTGCAAGGCATAAGTTATCAATATTTATCAAGCTATATGTCATATCGTGTATGCTTTGTTGATAATCGTCATAAAGACACCTTAACTTATTTACACAAATACAACGGAAAAAGATCGCGCCATTTACTAACATTCCAACATATTTAAATCAGGTCTATCTGTATATAGTGAAACTGAAACACACTTATATGACATTAAACCAGGTTCTACAAATACCATTCAATTCCATTTATGCTGATTTTTCTCATAATTCTGATGAAAACTATAAATAACATTAATCACATTAATATCTTTATAATACAATAAATATATTCTTGCAATCTGAGCTATCACAGAACTTAAATGACACTATTTATTTATTGTAGATTTGTCTAGTACACCCTTACATACGATAACAACGCATATATTTCTAACTAACATGACTCAATCATCGAGTATGTATTCCATATCAAATTAATTTTCTAAAATTCACATTTATTTCGAATTTGCCATAGTAGATTCAGAATCAAACATGAACATTTTCTCTAAACTTGCAGCAATCGCAATTGATAATAAGGTAAGAACACATTATGTGATAGATCGATATGTCTATGGATATAATATCAGGTAAATTCATCAACTGTTGAACGTGTACTTAAGAGATCAGCATCTATTGAGCTTGGAAGTGAGGCAAAAAAGACGATGGTAGAGTATTCCTCGCATGAAAAACAAGCCACAAATATTGTTTCGAAAGCTACCGATGAACCTAAGTTCATTAGTGCACGTATGATGATTGGTAGTACACCTACAAATGCTGAAACAATACTTGAAATATCAGATGAAGAATTATTAGCAATGGCTTTAGAATTTGAGAAGAAACATCCGCAATAATTATTATCATGATTCAAGAAAACATGCATTGATCTATAAACAAAATCTCCTTTTTCGTTGAATTCAATTGTATTGTTGTAGTACTTAGTTCTTCATATAATCGTAGTGCTCTTTGTATTATATGTAGCTAGTTTGTATTGTTAATCGTTTTATCGATATAGTATTATTAGGACTGTTATGAAAATTCTTATTATTGCTATTATTGAAATTGATTTCATTGCAGATTATAAATACTAACTGGTAGTAATGGACCAGCTGAATCTATTATATAAAGAACGGTTAATGGATATTTCGCACTGAGTATGAATAGTTGTTTAGGTACCATATTTAATAAATATTTTTGTTTATGAAATCAAGTATTTGGATTATTAACGTTTGGGATGTGCAGTTGGTCTAGTTTATCTATGAAACTTATGAATTTTGCTGATTATGTCATTTTAGAAGACTAATCTGTGTGTTTGCTACTATTATGTACACAGTTCAATTAGTGCCACGTGAAAGACAACAAGTTTTACCAGCTCAGATACGCCTTTGCTGCTGATCAGATTTGTGTTTATGTCATAAACTTTCATTTCGATATACTGGAGGACGTTTTTGTTTGTTAATGAATTTATTTTTCAGAACGACCACATAATCTTCAATCAACATAATGGTATATTTAATTTGTATTTGTACATTTGTCAGACTGGTGATAGAATATGAAAAAAATTTTTATTGCAAACTACATCGGCATTTAGTTCAATGTTCTACTTTCAGATATTTAACGTATGCAATTGTAAAACATTGAATCAGTCATATCACAAAGCGTCGTTTCAGTTAAACATCTTTTGTTGCATCAACCTTTACTTTTGATATGTACTGTTTGACAAATAATCAATGTTTAGTGGAAAAGTACTAGAAAAAGAGCAATATCATATTGTATCATATTGAGAATGGTAGACGCCAAAGTAATAAGATAGGAGCGCGAAGAAAAAGGTTGGACACAAAGAGAAAAATAGAACGGAAGGTAATGATATATGTTTGACGAATGTTATTTTCATCTAAAAGCAACAAATCTTGCATCTAAAAGATGCTTTCATTGTCCTCTATCTTTGTCTAAAATGGTTACCAGATACATTAGAAAGAGTACAATATTTAAAAATATTGCATTACCTGTGCTTCTCTTCTGACGTATGTTAATTAAAATCATCAAAGAAGACCTATATGTCAATAAGCACATATGGTTATAATTTCTTTTCTTTTGTTTTGTTGCCCGATATAAAATTACGCCAAAACATTTTTACTAACAAATGCTCCACATATATGAGAGATATTTTTAATTTGAAGCAAATTAACAAAGACAAAACATAAGTAAGAATAGAAAAGCGAAAGGTATGTTATGAAAATACTACATCAACATTTTTATAGTTCAATAACACAATGAAATAATTAGAAAAGAAATTTTATCCGATATTGAAATTATTGGAATTAATTATTGGACTAGAGATCATTTTTGTAAGATAAAAAGCGCCATCTTTTTCTGATTCGTTTCCAGGAGAAAAAAAATAATGTTACGTTGATACCTATATAGACGGCCATGACGGATACTCTTGCAAAAGTGAGCTAAAGTTTAAAGAAATTGTTTTTTTTTTGTATGAAATTCTCTCATACAATCAATTTGAGAAGGATTTGAGAAGGCATTCGTGATTTCAATTTCAATTGGTTTTCATAGCTGCGACTATTCATTTGAACTGATTTTGAGACAGATTAATTAAAACTAGTTGATATTAAGATGATGAATTAAAATAAACAGACATGTGAATACTTTTTGGGGTGATATCGTTTTTCTCTTTAAATGATATTTAATCGATTTATCTGTATCTTGAATAAAATCTGCGTGCACAACTTACGAAAATATTGAAAACATGGTTTTCCGACTATATATATATCATATGGTGAGACAAATCATAAGAATTTCTTTTATACCAAAAAAAAAGAATTCATTTTATTGTAAAAATCATTGTAACTTGATTTCTTTTGAGAGATATCGCTTTTTTGCTGTAATCATATTGACAACAGTTGAAATCAGTTATAAATATTAATTAACAATTAGTCATTTTGAAGACGGTGAAGAAGAAAACAATCATGAAACTTTAAATTTCATTTTTTTTATCAGCAAGCCTAACACACTCTTAGAAATTAATAATCATCCTACCGTACAAAAGTTTATCAATATATAATTTTATACTTTCTATAATACTTATTCGAATAATGATTGTTTTAGTTAGAAAACTTTTAGCAATTAAAACAAAGTACTGAAGTTCGTATAAAAATCATGCGCAATATCTTGAAGATAGATAAAGTAAAATAAAACAACTATATCTAGAAAATCGCTTGTCCTCGCCTTGATTCATGTGATATGAGATATAAGAATTAATTTAGTTTTTATTTTCAAATATTTAAAAAAAATTAATTTTTGATCGTTGGATTAGTTTCTTTCAAGGATATATGCTCAATTCAAATCGAGAAAATCAAAAATATTGAAATTAAACAATTGCCATATTGTCCGATTTTATCAACTTTTTATTAAACAAAATCAACTATAAAAAATTCTCGAAAATTGGCTATAACAAATATTTGATTAATTTGTGTTTTCAGTCAATTGAGAGGAAGAGTACTTTGATTGCTAAATATTTTTTTAATTGAGCATCGCCAAATGTTATATTTACGATAAGAAGCTCGTAGTTCTTTTATTCTTGTATAGATATCCGTCCTTTCTATATCTCACAAAGAGGTGTATTAGTAGATATGATGCTTGCCATTATGATCTGAATGATTAAAGAAAAGATAACTTAGTATTTAGTTTTATTTTATTACTGAGAAGCAAGTATAAAGATTAATATTTCGTCTTATTTAATTAAACTAAATTAAATTCGATCCAATAAATAATATCCTCAAGTTATTCTCATCTTAGCAGATTCATAAAGTGAGTTACTGTCGATCTCTCAGAACGAGCGGATTTTAAGCGAGATTTTTACTCGTTTTTAAAATAAAATTTGTCTAATGTCATATTGTTGAATGGAAGATTTGTTTTTTTTTCACGATCATAACAAAAGTGGAACTTCTTAAAAAAGAAAATTTGATAAAACTAAATATAATAGCTGCAATTTATTCATTTTTACATAGCGGAACGATATTAAATGTTTTTCATATGATCGTTTTATATATTCTGTTGGGAAAATTGTCTTTTGATCACCAAAAAAAATACAATTGATCACCA